ACTGGGTGTGTTTGTTTTGTCCTATTGGGCGTGCCGGTGTGGCTACTATCAATTGTAGCAAAGGCATGTAGAAAAATCTTAAATTTGTAAAAAGGTGTGAAGTCAAAACTACTTCTGGAAGATATAAATACACCATTCAATCTGTTTTTCAATTGACGTAAGAGCAAAAAGGTCCTCTTGAATCATCAACCAGTGTGAACAGCAGACAGATATAGGGAATAATTTTAGAGAAAAGAAAAAGGGGAATCCCATATTGTACAAAGAAAAGATGATATACAACAGAAAAACATCCACTGCGTCACTCGTTGGAATATCTGTTACATTATTTTTGATTTGTTCTTTGGTGGACTTCTGTTCATAATGTTTTGGTTGAAGCATTACACGTCTCTGACTTTTGGAGAGTTATTGCAACGTGTAACTGAGGTGAGAAGGTGTTTTTACAGCTGGGAAGAGAAGATTAGCATCTCAAAAGCTTAAATAATACTGGAACTACGACCCCAAAACAGAGCTAAACAAAAGAAGTGAGGCAAAAGCAAATGAGGTGGGTTAGGGTTAGTCTCTGCTGCCTGAACACTGAACTGTTAGCATGTAGCGACAATACCTGCGTTTCCATTAAAAATGTTCGTCTATATTCTGCGAATGTTGTTAAACTATAATTATGCAATCGTGGTTTTTCCATTAAATAATAAGTGAAGTTAAAATCAGGCAGGAATAATTTTGTTCATGCAAATAGTTACTACATCCTGCTGTTGTCTTCTTTGTGGTTTCCAGCAGTAGTAACATCTGGTTTTTGATCACGTGACTCGGGTTTCCACTGGAGTTTTGTGAAATACATTTATTTTGATACGGCTGTGAAACCACCTCATCTTGGCGGAAATACTTTTTTGTGATTTTTTTTTTTTTTTAATGATTATTATTGAAGCAAATGTATGTTTATTTTAATTTACACAATTTTATGGTTAATAAAAATACAACTACTCATAAGAGTGACATACAGAAACTGTCTTCAGTCAGAGGCTTTTTCAGATTCGTTGCATGGCTGACTGCTACTGGGGATCCACAGCAGAAATCCCATCCAAAGCTCTTTGAAGAAACTTACATGAATTTGCAGTGCAGAGGTAATGGGAGTGTTGATATCCAGTCTGCATGCAAAAGTTGTGAGCAGAAGGTCAAACTAGGTTGTAGTTTTGTCCGCAAGTGATGGATCGATGAAGTGACCCCTGTCTGCAGGTTAACTTTTATCATTGCCGTTAAATACAGTCCTACACTTCCATTAAATCCAGTCCATGCTGCTTTTGTTTTCATCGCCAGTAAAACAGGGTGGTGCAGCCTTAAAGTTTAGCTCGTTGAAAGCCTCGCCACAAACAGTTAACAGTTTCTGAAAATGTAGGTTTTGATCATCAGCAGGCACCACAGATTTTCCTGTCCGTTTTGCCAAAATCCTGTGACCCCTAAATGTTACTGTGGAAAGACAGCGTATCAAAACAAGCACCCCATTTTCTGCATTTGCTCCATGACGCACCTTTATTCCTTCCATATGAAACGTACAGGACACAAGGGGGCTTTGATAACAATGTGAGCTAGCGTTGCCACACACAGACTGTTTGGGAAGGTAAAACACCAGAAATCTCCCGTCCTGTCCCCCTCATTCATTGTTTTCACTGCACTTTTCTTCTTTTGTTTTAGTCAATGGGTAAAGGAGGAAAAACCCTCCAAATTATCAACAGAAACAGAAGCATTGCTCTCCTAATCAAGTGCGTGTCCTCAAGTGAACCTGCTCGCTAGCGCCAGCCCCTCCCATGTTGGGTCCGGGACCCCGTTTTCGGTTCACACAAGTTTTGCAAAAGCTTTATCTCAGTTTTCAACCCTTTTTTTCATCCTTTCATTTGCATTCGGCCCCGCTCTCTGTCTCCTGTGTGTGTGTGTGTGTGCATCGCTGACGCGGACATTTGTTTGGCAGCAGAGACGCAAAGGGATGCTGTTAGCGCTGCAGGAAAAACAAAATCACAAGTCTTTTTGGATCGCCGTGTGTTAACATGTAAACACTGTTCCAAATGAGGTGATACAACTCAGTTTGAAACCAAGAATTTCACTCCGTGTAAGTTAACTCTTTAAACATAAGACGATTTCCCTATTTACTGGCCATGACTCTGTTTCAGAGTGGGAATGTTTCTCGTTTTAAATCCAATACCGGATTATTTCCAGAGATCAGCCATATCTGATCTCTGAATTAATTAGGAATGAAAAGTTTCATAAACTCGAAGCGTGAACCAGAAACCGATCCACAGCAGATCCAAATCTCAGGCTTTTCTGTTTGGACTTTCGGTTTCTAACCCTAACCCTGGAGTAGAGTTCATTTGTAAAACATGTTTCAACAACAAAGCATAAAACTGAATTCAGTAACTAATTATTCAACAGTAGGAAAAGTTACATTTAGTTCATCTTGATTTAAAGAAACTCTGTGTTGCTTCTCCATGTTTGGTTCAGAAGACCAGAGTGACCTAGAAGGTCGAAACGATGACAGATCTTTAGAAAATGTTTTTTTCTTTTGGTTTTAAGCTGCTGACTGATTTACAAACTAACAAACATATTTTAGAGTCTATTCTCTGGACTCCGGGGAGCCGGAGGAAGGACAGGTTTTAGTCAGAATGCCAGCTGCAGCGTTCTGGCAGATCAATGCGGTTAGAGATAAAAACATGGATGAGTTTCTCTAGATCTTCCTTTAATCCTGGAAATGCTCTTCAGATGATAAAAGGCCGACTTTGTAACGGTCTCTATGTGTCTCTGAAGGTTCACACTCAGATTTCAGGCCTGATCGCTCATTTACAGTCATAACAACCGACTAGATTATTCCACTTTGTTTTGTTCAGCTATTTATTTGTTCAGTGATTGGTTGGTTCAGAGCCACCTGGTGACATCATAACGTAGAGCTATGGATCATCTGCATAGTTATGACAACTAATCTCAGTGAACTCAACGGCCTTTCCTTGGCCGTTGAGTTCACTGAGGCGGATGTCTCCAGAGACGAAGCTGTGCGGCGGCTGAATGTGGCGCTGAGTGGGTTCAAAAGTCTCACAATCAAAGAAAGGAGAGAAGGAGGGAGGGAGAGAAACTTGGCACAGAGACGGTTCAGATAACCAGACGCTCCAGAAGCAGGCGGGGGAAGGTAAGGTCAGCCCATCCCGCCTCGCTCCTCTTCATCAGCAAATATCTATAGACTGGGCGAGCTCATCATTTCCAGTACACAGCAGGCAGAGGAATCCAGATCAGGTTTCAGAACAGAGATGGAGCGTTTTGAGCTAACTGGACGCTAGCGGTGTCATCAGGAAAATAGCTTTGTCCTTCAGAGGAGCATCCTTATTGTATTCCACGTTGGAACAAGCAGTTCCTGTTAATGACGCGACGCGGCAGGGGAGGCAAATATAGACGCCGCATCGTGGTTCTTCTGAGCTTCAGCTCGGCGGAAAAGGAGTCAGACTTCCAAAAATCTGAGCTAATTCAGAAATGCTTCATTTATCCCAAAGTGGGATTAAATGTATCTTCAACGAATCGTTGTGGACTAAAGACCTGATGACAAACTAGCAGCTCGATTTTCCACAATCACATTTTGTTCATCATCAGTTGATGATCCACCTCATTTGCTTTTGCTACTCATCTTTAACTCTCTGATTGGTCGTATGGTGAGAAAGCCGGGCAGAGAGACATTGGAGTCTCTGCTTTCTGGTTCAGAAGCCTCCTTTTGTTGGTTCCTCTGGGATTTGGGGTCATAGTTCAGGAGTTGTTTGAGCTTTTCAGATGCTAAATAGCAGTAAAAGTAAAAGTGGAAACGCCTCAAATTAAAAACACGACAAGCAAAGTCTGGATAAAGAACAAATGCGTAAATGTTTTATTTTCCTTCATGGTGGCAGCATCATGCTGTGGGAATGCTAGTCTTCAGCATAAACATGGAAGCTAATCAGCTTCTGGAAATCGATCCAAAATATTGATAATATCAATACCAAGTCGGTATCGGATCGGTCCTATCGTGATAAGATCAATATTTTAGTTTATTTTAGATCTGCAATCTAATTTCTCAACTTTCCCGTAAAGTTTTTTTGATTTTAACTTTTTCTCAAATTAAATATTTGCACTTTGTTTAGAAAACAATCCACACAAGTTAGTTTCCATTTATCCTGTAAATATGTTATTAAAGTATTGATAAACTTTACAAAATAATCCAAAATAAATTTTAAAAAATACCAAAACCTTATTTAGTTGGTATTTGATCTTATTGCACACCTTTCAGCCATCAAATATAAGCAATCCAGTCACATTTGTATGTCAGAATGTCCCAGTCAAAGTCCAGATCTGAATCAATGTTTGCTCTCTATCTAATCTGACTGAGCTTCATGCCTGGTGCAGAAAGAGCAGGAAACATTTCCAGTCTCTATCTGGGAGAGCTTCACATAAATCACGTCATAAGTGTAAGAATTTCTTTGAAAGCCAGTGATTTTATATTTCACTTTCCTGCCAAGAACACGGACTGATAGAAAATCAGGGAGAAGAGAAGGAAACCCAGGAGTATAAATCACTGACAGAGCAGGGAAGCTGGAAATCCTCCTCTACCACAGAGTTGAAAGGATCAAGACTTCACTTTTTATTCTTTATTGCTACAAAAACCTTTGTACTTTATCACCGAGTTCTCTTGTTAAACGGACTTACTGCTGGATTCCGTGGCACCAGGTTGCGCGCAACCAGTAAAAGTGAAACTATCACCTTTCGTTTGTATTTAACTTCCAGTCCTGAGCTTTCAGGGGATAAAGCAGAACCACGGTGTTCTGCTGCAGCCACTGTTGCTGCAGCTGCAACCACTGCTGCTGCAGTTCCAAGTCTGAGAAAGATCAAGACTGCATCCCGTTCACTGAAAGAATAAAAAAAAAGGGGGGGGGGAGAAATGACGTTATTTGACCATGTGCCCAAAATCCTTAATGAATAACTTAGAACTAGGAGGAGGCAAACGCTGCCCCAGCTGTTTCCTGTTGAAAATGTCTGTGTAATGTAGATAAATGTGAGGGATTTTCTCTCTAAATCCGTCTCCTGTTCGCTAAATCTCACTTCTCCAAAACGAGCCTGCGCAATGGAACAAAGTGGGAATATTGAGATGTGACATTGCCCCGCATCTCGTCCTCTTTCTTTGCCCCGATTTCTTTTATTTAATGACTTCAAACAAGTCGCTCATTTTCGCCGGGCTTCTTTGTCTTTTTGCGGAGATCCGCGGTGATGTCTGGCGCTGCTTCCTCCCGGTGGCATTTATGTGACGTCCTCAAGGTAACGCGGCTGCTTTTCCATTGTCACCTTGCTCCCTGCTTGCGCTCAGCATCCTTCTGAACCAGAAGCTTTTCCTAACGTGTTTTTTTTTAAAATTCAGTTTGCATGCAATTCTCATTGTGTTTCTTGCATATTAATATCACCCCAATAATTCGCACCTTTTCTAGGGGATTAATTTATTATTTTTGACAGCTTTGCCTGGTTTGCATCTGTCCTCTGCGCCTCCATGCGTAATGCCCTATTTTGCACCAGAAAGCTTTAAAACTTTCACCTTAATTGCTGCTGAGTGTGCGTTATTAAAGCTTAAATATTTCACCGGAAAACGGAGGGAAAGCTTCATCTGAGGCGCTCCGGGGCGTTTAGAGCTGCGCGGTTCTGATGTGGATGTATTTATTCGGTTTTATTATGCACAGTTTGGCCCGGTCCGCTCGCTCCGCTGGCTTTGGCGGGATAACTCTTTTCCGTCAAACATTTTGGATCGGAAAGATCCCCTGGCGGCTCTTTTCTGCATCCTTTATTTCTGAATTTCGAAGCACTTTTCGTGCGTAATAACGCGCTGACAGCTTTGGCACCGGGAGACGGTGGCCTGCTTGTTAATGATATATATGATGAATGAATGTTTCTGATTAATGTGGATTGTTGCTAACTCCTTGCTATATGCTGGCTGCAGTATGGGGTGATAACGGGGAACGTGTGTTTTTAATTTGGACACACTCAGCATTAGGACTTATTGCCAGAGGTGCTCCTAATGGGGGGCCGTGGGGAGCCAATGCCCATCCCCACAAACCTGCTAGGTATCAAATTATTGGTTTTATTTACTTATTTGTGCAAACAAGTGAACATATCATTGAAAAGTTGATTCATTTCAGTAATTAAAATTGAAAATCTGAAATTTGCTGAGAAGTTAAGCCTTATAGTGATTTATTTTCAATATGGAAAGGAAAATAGGTATCCAAAGATGTAAATGGAATGTTTTGTGGAAGGAAAAACTGTGGCAGAAAAAAATGATCGAAGCAAAAATGAAAGTCACTTTTACAGGGTTTTTCTTTCTCTAACTTTTTGAATTGAAGTTTTTTTTTATATTTTAACATGTTGCACCTTTAACTTGTAAAACATTTTAAATGCTGAAACTATCACTATTAGTTCTTGAATCACTGATTCCAGCTGTGAATCTGCTCCAAACTCTTGAAGCGGCTTTCCGTTTCTCATATGCATCTTTTTCTGTCGCAGTTTTTCCTTCCACTTCACTTTCCACTAACATGCTTGGATACAGCACAGTCATCGTCTCATTGTTGGATATCTGTCATCTCTGAAGTCTCCTCTGAAATTCAGAAATTTTTGTATTGACCCGTTTAATCCCAGATTTTATTCTGCAGAATAAGCGCACAGATTTTATAATATTCATAAATTATTACATTTGGCTTTAGTGAAAATGGAGGCGTTTTACTCAGTTGTTGAGACCTAAAATTCTGCTTTTATCTTTGAAAACTTTCTCAGTGCACATCCGACTGGATTTTTTTAATGTAGAGTGTGCAGCCGGGTTGTTTTTGAAGCCGAACCGTTTCCCCTCATGTCCGGCTTTGCTACTTCAGCTGTAAGTCTCACGTTCAGGCTCTCCCTGTCTGGCTGTTCGCAGGGTGCGATGTGCTGTATCTCCTGTGGCCACACCCTCTCACTACTGCTGTGCATCCTCACCCTGACTCCGACGGCAACAGGGGCGGGTCCGGAGACCCTGTGCGGGGCGGAGCTGGTCGACACGCTGCAGTTTGTCTGTGGAGAGAGGGGCTTTTATTTCAGTAAGTGCACCTTTTTATTTATTCATAAAGGCTGGCTGTGTGGGTCTCAGAGCTCTCCGCCTCCAGGAGACTCATAAATAAAACAGCAGCCAGTTTGGCATCTTGTCTTGACTTTCCCTGCATTAATGTTTCGTCTGTAGTTCACTCCTTTTCTCCAGTCTTATCTCTGCCTTCAAGTGTTTTACTTTTAATCCAAGCAGAAATAAAGTACGACTGAATGTTTGGTGATTATTGTCAGAAAAAGAAAAAGGAGCAACTGGATGTTGCTGTAAAGTTTTGCCTTTTTTTCTCTCAATAGATTAAAGTATTTGTGCCCCAAAACATCCATATAAATCAATCAAGTTTATTTGTACGGCACAGTTATGAAATAAATAAAAAACTCAAATTTGTCGCTGAAAAGTTTCGCAAAACTGCGACGGAAACACTTTTTTCAAATCACACCGGATGTTACTACTGGCGAAAACAACAAAGAAGACAACAGGAAGTGGTTGAAGGATGATGTTTTTAATGACAAACTTATTTATGTGTGATTTTAATTGCATTTCTTTCTTAATAAAAACGCTGCAATTTGCAAAATTGTGTTGTTGTTTTTTTAGCACTGACAAAGTATTGCAAACATTTGTAACAGAAACGCAGATCCTGCTTTTTAAAGTATTTTGAAAACAATTACAATGTTTTCCACCAGTGTGCAACAAGTTTATTTATTTGACATTTGCAGAACTGGAGTTTATTCACATCGTTCACGTTTCATTGGCGGTCATCCAGCAATTAGATTGAATTGTATTTAATGTCCTGAGCAAGAATCATATCTCCAACAAAACCCTGTTCTGTCCAGGAACTGATTGTCCCTATGACTCATATGTAGTTTTGACCTAACAATCCATTATAAATGGTTTGGTTCCGTCCCAAACTTATGAAAGATTTTCCACATGCGGTAGACTTTGTCAGCTGCCAGTTTCAAGCAGAAAGGGAGAAGAAGATATAGCATTTCTCAGGGAGATCAGCATCTATAGCACATTTTCAGTTCTTCTCCTTTCCAGTTATTGATTGCTTTCACCTTCGGTTGAACCAGGAATGGTTTGAAAATACATGAGAACCTGTTGACTGATGGACAACTGGGGGGCCAGAAGGGGTTCCAGGTTTTTCAGCCGACAGCCAAGCAGTAGTGGTGGCTACTGTATGCTGAAGGGAAGGGAGAGCTCCTGAAATACACATGAAACCATTTTATTCCCATCGCAGTTTAGAAAGTGCTTCTGCAGAAGCTTCACACTGTCCAACAAAATCTTGACATTTATTCTGTCATACCGGACAGAATAAATACAGCACATTAAATAGCAACAGGACTTACATTCTTTCTACAGATGAATATTCGAAATATGTTATTTCTGTTAAGGCAATGTCTTCTACATTTGTTTCTCCGATATATTGGTGATCTCGCTAGTCTTTAACAGCAACTTTATCATGCAGAAAACTAAATAAAAACAACATTTCTGACGATATGTATCTTCTTGTTTAAATGGTTTTGACATCACAAAAAACAAAGCACTCTACAAGATGCTGCTTTTCTAAATACATGTAGCAAGTAGCTGTACTGCAGTTTTATCTCATCATATATCTGTATATAAAAATGGATTATTTGTCTTGTAAAGTGCCTATAGATTACCTAAATTAAATGTGTTATTACGCCAGCAAGCATCTAAACAGGATCTGTTTTGGAAACGTTGACTAAATGTTTTCATGGCATCTACGACTATGTTTGCATTTTGCACAAATTATCCTGCAAAAACAGCAACCAGACAACATTTTTAATTTCTTGTAACATTTACCTATGCTAACCATTTACGAAGACCGGAACGGTGAAGGACATTCAGTTTCTGCTGTGTATTTTTTATTTTCTGTTCTCCTCTTTAACGCTGCCAGACCTTACTACATTTATTGCTGCTTCTTTGATGATTGTTAGCACATTGTGGCCTGTATTTGAAATGCTCCTTTAATCACTGCTTTGGATTGCATACTTAGCACAATCTTTAAACTATCAAAGCCAGTTCCCTACAATAATTTGTCTCCAACAATAATAAACAGATTTTAAACAACCCTGCAACTTCTAAATGCCAAGTTTTAGCTTCTTTTCTGTGTATAAAAAATGGCAACAAGTGGGGATTTGATTCCAATCTTTATCTTTTTTTTTTGGTCCTTCAAATTTAACGCTGGCTAAATGCTAGCTAGCTCTCCTAGCGCTAGCTAACATTTAAGGTGGAGTTATATTGAAACTTTGCTAGCTAGCTAGTCCCTTTTAGCATCTTTTTAAAATTCGTTCTTGTTATGAGCCGCCTATAAAAAATAGCAGCAAGTGGGGATTAGATTCCTACATTTATTGTTTTTAGTAGTTTCTCAAGTTTACAGCTAGTTGTAGCGGTGCTAGCGCTAGCTAGTATATAAAGCAGAGCTGTATTGAAACTTCAGATGCTAGCTAGTTTTCTAGCTAGGTAGCTAGTCGTGTTATAGTTTATCCCTTTTTGGGAACATTATTAGGCAATATAGCCACTATAGGGCAGATCTGAGTTAGTTTTTGGATTCAGAGAATATGTTTAAAGAACAAGCAAGGCAACGATGGGGGGAAAACCTGGTGATGTTTATTCTCAGAATGCATCGTCTTCTTTACTGATTTCACAAATCGGTTTTTGACCAAGTGTTTGACCTGCAGTTATCAGGTTCTATTTTCCTCTTGTGAACCTGCTTTATATCGGGTGAAATTGCGTCAGAAACTCTTAGACTTAAGATCTAATTTACAGTTTATGGAAGTCAAACTCTAATGGTTGATTATCCTCTTGCTGAATTAGCATATCAGTGCTGAATTACTGCTGCTAATGCATCTGATACATATTGATCAACTGTCCAGTCATAAGGCCACCTACACCTTGTCGATGCTCATTGTTCACCCTGATCTGAAGTTATCATTTCTTTACCCAAACACACAATTTTTGGATACTCACCAAGTAATTGCAAAGTTTAAATATTGTCTCAAAAATCACCAGATTTCTTTTAATTTTCCCCTTATTTTCTGGAGAGGTTTTCTCATAATATTTCTGCTTTCTTTATGATCTTCTGTCCAGTTTTTGTAAAACCATTAATGTGATTGCTTAAACATAGAAAAGTGTTAAAAGTGTGGTTTTAAATGGGAAAATATTACAAAAACACTTAGATTATTTATCCTTCAGGCGGTTTTTCTACTTCTGCAAGCTTTCCGTTTTCTACCAAACTGTACCATCTTCAAATTTTGACAGTTCAACCCAGTTGGTTTTCTGGTGCTATAGATCAAGCAGTGGTTTTTCCAAATGGGTCTTTGTTCTGCTATTACTTGACTATAATCTTGAACCAATATTTTCTCTGTGTGGCCGTTCTCTGCAAACCCAAGAGATAGTGGTGGGTAGAAAAACTCCCTGGTTTCTCATGCTTGGTTTGAACTTATGCAAGTCTTTTTTTTTTATCTCTGGATGCCTGAATGCTTTGAGTTGCTGCCATGTGATTGGCTGATTTATTATTTGTGCAAACTAGGACTCAAACAAGTGCACCCAACAAAGTGTTGGTGAGTATATTGAACTTTATAAGTTCCCCTGTAGGAGAGGAGGTGTTTCATGCACACTCAGACGAAAAAGATGAGCTTTGAGCAGCAGGGTGCTGTTCTTTGGAAAATATGCCACTTGCTGTCTTCCTGGGTTTGACTGGTTTATTTTTCCTCTACGTTCGACTGTGTGAAACATCCGTCTGGAACCCGTTTGCTTTGCAAAGCGGCGTTGCTCCTTTCCCTGAAACCTTCTGCTCTGATTGATAATGGATACAAGAACCAAACCCTACCTTATCCACCTGAAGCAAGCAGCCAGTAGAGTACTACTCATTTTTTCCAAATATTAGCCTGACCCAGAAATCCCGACTTGTCTTCTCAATGCTTTACCAGATGGGCTGCGCAGTGATTTCACCGGGATGTTTGTTTTCTGAATCAAATATTTCATAAGGCTTTTTTGGCTTAAGTGTAAGCTCCAAGTAGCTCTCTGGCCTCAGTCACTTTTAGGTCATGCTAAAATATTTAGCCATCCAAATTTAGAACAGGACATCTTAAGAATGAATAATGCATAGCCCATTATGAGTCACAGGATGAGATAACTGGACATTTTGGGCTTGAAACGTATTGTTTTCCGAGTTATTTTGGGCTGCAGCCGTCAACGAGAGTTCCTGGTCAGCATTCAACTTCGTCAATTTCTCCTGAGCTCCAGAGGATGAGTAAACAGCACGTCACGCACGCATGCATGCATGCACCCACGCTTCAGCGCGCACGCCGAGGCCTCGTCCCTCAGCAGCAGGGGATTACAGGGATTACAGGATGATCAGGACTCCCCTCTCCTCTGCCCTCCATCACGATACACTGAGCTCAAACATGATGAGGAAGCATCTGAAGAAAGACCTCCTGTGTCCTCATCAGCGCCAAGAAAAAAAGTTGTAGTTTCCCCCGGAAAAAAAAAGACACCTGAACCAAAAAGTCTCCAAATCCCTCCGGGAATTAGGGCTCAGCAGAACAAAGAGGCGCCTCATGTAAAGGACAGTCAGTTCTCCGGATTTAGACCTGTTAGTCAGGTAGAGCGGATATTCAGGGAGTTTCACCCTCTGTTTTTGTTGGCATGTGGTGAAAATGAGTTAAACACCTGAAAGGAGAAGCATTGTCTGAAAATTGACTTTTCCAGCTTTACAACATATTGTAATTTTATTCCTTTATCAAAAATATACCTGGAGTGTCGCTTTGATCATGTTTAATCATGTTTGAGAAGTTCTTTAATCTCTATGGCAGAAACGCCTGGGTGGACTTAGCCCCGCCTTCGAGGCGCAGCTCCTCCTCAAAGCTGTCATTTACAAGCTTCCACCTCACCTCAGCTACTCTACCACACACTTCTTGCACTCAGCTCCTTCAGACTAGCCAGCAGCAATTAGCAAACACCTGGTAAAGCTGC